CTGAAGGTGGCACTGACTACATTTTATTATGTACATTTTTATTTAACAAATTTTTAAATAACAAAAAATTTCAAACGCCCATGACATCTCTTTAAGCAGCAAATTTGGATCGTACATTGACCTGAACAAAGTGTTCGAAGTAAAATGTATTTACACCGTTGGATCTAAAACGTTGCTTTCCATTCAACGGTTGGTCAGTTGTTCGTGCTTTGTTCCACTTTGCGTATTTTGAAATAACAAAGCCATCTAAGGTAAACAAAAGTTTGTCATCAAAGAAAATATTACACAATATTTACTACGAGTACATGTGCATTGACGATTTTGGAAAACATTCTACCGAGATCCATTCTTCACCGTTTAAGGCGTTTATTATCACAAAACAAAGAATTATAATATTAATTTGATGATATTTTAAACCCAGGTTTCCTATTTTTAAAATCATGAAAAAATATCAGAAAGGGCTGAATAGACAATTTTCATAGGACATGTTTTAGCTCTCCGAAGCCGTCCGTCTGTCAAGCTGTCTGTCCATCTTTCTCTTTTCACATTTTTGATGTCTTCTCGAGAACCACTGGCCCAGTTTTAACCAAACTTGAGGCATAACCAAACTTTCTATAGCTTTGGGAATATTTTGTTTGAGTTGTTTTTAGCTCACCTGAGCTGAAAGCTCAAGTGAGCTTTTCTGATCACCCGGTGTCCGTCGTCCGTCCGTCCGTCCGTCCATCCGTCTGTAAACTTTTCACATTTTCAACTTCTTCTCAAGAACCACTGGGCCAATTTTAACCAAACTTAGTACAAAGCATCCTTGGGTGAAGGGGAATTTAAATTGTTAAAATCAAGGGCCAAGACCCCTTCCAAGGGGAGATAATCAAGAAAATACGAAAATAGGGTGGGGTCATTAAAAAATCTTCTTCTCAAGAACCACTGGGCCAGAAAAGCTGAAATTTATGTGAAAGCATCCTGGGGTAGTGTAGATATTGAATTGTTAAAATCATGACCCCCGGGGGTAGGGCGGGGCCACAATAGGGAATCCAAGTTTTACATAGAAATATATAGAACAAATCTTTAAAAATCTTCTCAAGAACCACTGGACCAGGAAAGCTGAAACTTTTGTTGGAGCATCCTGGGGTAGTGTAGATATTAAATTGTTAAAATCATGACCCCCGGGGGCAGTGTGGTGCCACAATGGGATATCCAAATTTTACATAGAAATATATAGAACAAATCTTTAAAAATCTTCTTCTCTAGAACCACTGGGCCAGGAAAGCTGAAACTTAAGTGGAAGCATCCTTGGGTAGTGTAGATATTAAATTGTTAAAATCATGATTCCCGGGGGTAGGGCAGGGCCACAATAGGGAATCCAAGTTTTACATAGAAATATATAGAACAAATCTTTAAAAATCTTCTTCTCAAGAACCACTAGGCCAGGAAAGCTGAAACTTATGTGGAAGCATCCTTGGGTAGTGTAGATATTAAATTGTAAAAATCATGACCCCCGGGGGTAGGGCGGGGCCACAATGGGGAATCCAAGTTTTACATAGAAATATATATAGAACAAAACTTTTAAAATCTTCTTCTCAAGAACCACTGGACCAGGAAAGCTGAAACTTATGTGGAAGCATCCTTTGGTAGTGTAGATATTAAATTGTTAAAATCATGACCCCCGAGGTTAGGGCGGGGCCACAATAGGGAATCCAAGTTTTACATAGAAATATATAGAACAAATCTTTGAAAATCTTCTTCTCAAGAACCACTGGGCCAGAAAAGCTGAAACTTATGTGGGAGCATCCTTTGGTAGTGTAGATATTAAATTGTTAAAATCATGACCCCCGGGGGCAGGGCGGGGCCACAATAGAGAATCCAAGTTTTACATAGAGATTTATTGAACAAATCTTTTAAAATCTTCTTTTCAAGAATCACTAGGCCAGGAAAGCTGAAACTTATGTGGAAGCATCCTTGAGTAGTGTAAATATTAAATTGTTAAAATCATGACCCTCGGGCATAGGGCGGGGCCACAATGGGGAATCCAAGTTTTACATAGAAATATATGTAGAACAAATCTTTTTAAAAGATCTGCATCACCCAAGTTACTCAGGTGAGCGATGTGGCCCATGGGCCTCTTGTTAATTCTTGATATAGCAGGCAAGGTAGTTAGTACAGAATAAGAATCACTGTAGATACTTGTACACTGTCAGTATGTTAGTGAGCCATTGTCCCACATAGAGATTGTTCTCATCATCCACACACACACTACGGGGATAATCTACCCCATGTTGTTGTGAGAGTAATAGAGACAAGAACTGACCGCCCTTATCAAGGAGATGAACAGTTCTACTTTTATCATCACACACCAGGATGTGACCGAGGACATCAGTACAGATTCCATAGGGACAGAACGCTGACCCCTGACCTGTGTAGGAGAACCTGTGTTGTCCTGATTTATTCACCACCACTACTGCCTTTTTATGTTCTGAAATGCAAATATCTCCATTGATGTTTTCTGTGATGTAGTGTGGCAATGCAAACAGGTCCCGTCCTTTGGTATCCCTCTGTATGTTCTGTAGTTCTTTTCCCGATTTGTTATACCTAGTGAGTTTAGCCTCTTTAACCTTCGCCATCCCCACCAGTAAGTCCCCATTGATGTGGGAGGAGTAAATGCTAAATGGTGTCCAATCTCCAGTTTTTAGGAATTCGGCGATATCATTGTTTTCTATTATTCTATATATAACTTTCTTCTCTCTCTCTGTAAAGATTAGATTTGCATTGCTTGTTACTGTGTGGTGACCACACTCAACGCTGGTTCTTATCTCACATAGCTTACTAGAACGAAAATTTGTCTGGACAAGATTTCCGCAACTGTCACTGACATAGATTCCGTTTAATTGGTCTAGTGAAATGTGGTTAACACTTTGAACACCTGGTACATAGAACTCCCTGACCTTGGTTACAGTGGCAGATAGTGACATTAACTTCTTTTCAGGTTTCTTTCTGTCTTCTTTTATTTGTTTTTGGGCAGGTTTCATTGCTGTGTTGTCAACACTTACACTGGGACTTATTTCTCTCTTCTCTGCTTTAGTGCTGGGGACATGTATTTTACCTAATAAATAAGTAATGTCATTTTTGCTGAAATCGCCAGCAGTAAATCCAATCATGATTGGCTTTGTTGCTTCTGAATATTTGTCCACATAAATTGTCTCTAGATCAGTAAATATATGCCCTCGATGGTTTCTCTGTGTGGCACATTTGGAACATAATGAAGTTTGACATTCTTCACAGAACATGTCCAAATCTTAAGTGGGGTGGATCTTGCATTTCTCTAAATGAAGTAGTCCTTTACGATGCTTGTACAAGACCACCTCATGATTCGTGTTTTCTGGAATTTTCTGATGTTCATCTCTGCAGTGTTTACAAAATCTTTCTTGACAAGGCTTGCAGTAAAATGCAAAGTTGTTTTCACATTCTTCAACACCACACTTTAAAACGTGTCGGGCTTTGTTCGGTATATCCACTTTTGATAATGCCATCTGAAAACGAGGAAATGCGTAACAAAAAAAAATGATAAGTTCTCTGCTACATAACTTAATTTACATCTCTACAAGAGCTATAGTATACAACATGTATAACAAAACGATTCTATTACATCTTAAATTAATCAATAGTTTCCTAAACATGAAGTCAAAGAACTTATTTAAATAGTTCAGCAAATGAATTATGAATATGTTAGTACAATTATGTCATAGTAATTAACATTTTCAATTACCAGTAATTCAATTGTTTTTCATACTCACTTTTATTTGTTGTGGATAGCCTTTAAAAAGCTTTTTTGATAGACTTTGGTCTGTCACGCCGAGAAAATAGTAAACCTGTGATTGGTTTCTTTCTGGAGATAAGAAAAAATATATTTAAATAGACCTTTGTTTATGTCCTCTTCACAGATTTTTGTTTATAGAATTTTTGACATTGATCAATATTCGTTATCTTCAGTCTATTTACATCCACAGATATTTGTTTACAGAGTTTAATCGAGTAAAAACAGGCTTAATTCTATTTTTTAAACTATAAATTCATTTCAAAATTTTTGAATTCCTGGTTAATAAGGGAGCTCTAGACAGCTTTGATTAATATTATTTGGACGTTGTGATAATTATGTGAAATGAAGGTGAACATCTGGAAGCAATGGCAATGATTGAAATATTTAAAATAGGAATCTCTTAAATCCACAGTGTAGCTATAGGCTTGTTCATTGAACTTCAATTTGCCAACAAAGCAATAGACGCTGTAAATATTAGCAATATTCTTAATCACAAAGGGGACAAGTCTTCGGTTCAACCATATTCAAATTTTTAGTTCATATTTTGTTTTTCTTAAAAATATACATTCATTGCAAGTATTGCTTCTAACTTTTGAAATTGCATAATAGATATAGTTACCAATACCAGATTTATAAGCTACATAAAAATATGACTGAGATATGTAGCGGGCTCCAATAAATGTTTACACATGTACAAAGTCTTTTTATTTGTTCCCCACTAAAATATTAACAATAGTGGAGGAGAGTCGACAGGAGTATGGTACAACAATATGATTGTGCATATCGTGAATTGGTGTTTATCAGATATGGCCACTTATAAACTCCAAGGAGCGTTTTGAAAATTTGAAATAACAAATTATACTGAATGGTTGTAAACATCAAAAAGTACTTTTTCCAATATTTAATAAAACCATTCCCCGCGAGAATTTGAAGTCTAGGGGTTTTTTTTTTTACACCAAAGGTAATGCTTAGCTAGAGGGAAATAGAACTTCTAAATTTATATTAATCTTGACATTTTGCTAAATTATCTAAAACATTCTTATTATACACACAAGTACTCTGAAATTGATATGAGAAAGATGCTTGAGTTTCAGAATCTAGTAAATATGTTGTTTTCGGGGATCAGTCTGTGAGAATTTTCCTGGATACTAATGTACCTGGTTATTAGCAAACACATCCTATATTTCTTTAAGGCATGACGTTTTCCTGGCATGTAAAATATCAAAATCGTAAAAAAAGCCAGGAAAATGTAAGATTTTTGGACTACATAAATCAATGACTAGTTTAAAACTTAACCACTGCAACACCTTTAAACATACTATATGGGGCGATGTTTTGGTAATTATTGGCACAAAGTTATATCATCTATTCGAATAGGTAATATCACTTTTTGTCAATAAGTTTTAAACGACGCCTCGTACAAACGTTGAGATAACCAACAATTTTTAAAACTAAAAATAAATCTTTGAAAAGCAGAATACAAAATATTAAAAAAAAATATCGAGAGGATAGAAAATAGTCACTATACACAAATCAACATGATTCAAAAAAAAGATCTAGAAGACGAATTAGATAAATTATATGAATATAAATCTAAAGGCGCTCAAATACGATCGAGGGCTAAATGGATTGATGAGGGTGAAAAGAATACCTCCTATTTTCTAAGGCTTGAAAACAAACATCAATCACATAATGTTATAAATACAATAAGAAAAGACGATCAGATCTACACTAAAACTGACGACATATTAAAACAGCTTTGTTTATTTTATGAAAATCTGTACTTGAGTGTACATATTCCAAGCGATGACATTGAAAACTATTTAAATGATATTGACTTCGTTAATAAAATTACAGAGGAGGAAAAAATAAATTGCGATCAATTTCCGTCTCTAAAAGAATGTTCAGAAGCAGTTTATCGAATGAAACAAAATAAATCTCCCGGAATCGACGGTTTACCAGTAGAGTTTTACAAAATGTTTTTGATATTTTCACAATGCTTTAATAGCGTCGTTCGAAAAAGGCGAATTATCACAAACACAAAAATGCTCTGTACTTTCTCTTATACATCAAAAAGATGCCTTAGATAAACTTGAAAATTATCGTCCGATTAGTCTTACTAATACCGATTATAAAATTATAGCTTTCGTGTTAGTATAAAAATTTTAAAACGTGTTATTGATAACCTGATAAAAAAAATCAAACAGGGTACATTAAAGGTCGGTTCATCGGCGCTAATGCTAGATTGATATTAGATATTTTAGAATATTGTGAAAATAATAGTAAGAAAAGGATTCTTCTTTTTGCAGACTTCCACAAGGCTTTTGATTCAGTGGAATGGAATTTTTAAATTAATAGTCTGCATAAATACAACTTCGGATGCAATTTTATAACATGGATAAAAATATTATATAAAAACCCATATTTTTACATAAAAAACAATGGATGGCTCTCCAGACAATGTTCAATGAAAAGGGGAATTAGACAGGGATGTCCTGTTTCAGTGCTCTTATTCCTTTTTGTTATGGAAGTGCTTTCTTTGAAAATAAATTCTTCGGCAGAAATAAAAGGTTTTAGCATTGACTCACTTGAAAATGAAATCAAATGTATTCAACACGCTGATGACAGCACTTTTCCGTTACAAGATAAAGCATCACTAGAAAATGCATCAAAAATAATCGAAAATTTTAGTAAAGTTTCTGGTACAAAACTAAACATATCAAAAACTGAATGTATTCTTTTAGGACGACTAAAACATTCCTTAAACAGGAATCTTACATTTGTAAAACCAAAATTAACTGTTAAGCAATAACATGCTTAGGCATATACATCGGAAACGACAAAACTGCATGTAATGAAATTGGCTTAATAAACTTAAAGAGTTTGAAAAATACTGGACTCCTGTAGAAAACGGAAACTTACTATCTTTGGAAAATGTCAGATAATAAATTCATTAATTTTATCAAAACTCATATACACGGCTAATGTTTTAGATAATCCAGTTTTATTAAAAATCTTAACCGATTAATTTATTCATTTATTTGGGGAAATTGTGAACGCATTAAACGAAATACACTCATTCGCGAAATTAATAATGGAGGAATAGGAATTATTGATTTTGAAACGAAAGTAAAGGCATCAAAAGCGGCTTGGGTTTCCAAAATTATAAATACCGTAAGATATTTAAATATAAAATGAAATGTAGAATTATGAAAAATAATATTACAAGTGAAGACATGTTAATCTTTTTGAAAAATGCTCTTATGAAATTCTATTTAGTCACCAAACGATCCCTAAGCATCACATACAATTTTCATATTTTAAAATCTTTGGCAATAAACTTGTAATTATTATATTTATACATTTATATATGTATGATATTATCTATATATAGTGTATATGAGGGTGACCTGGCCCTCTATACATGTTGCTAAGGGGTGTGTTGGACAGTCAGTGTTTTTATGTGTTCCCCATAGCAACATAATGTTTCTATTTGTATCTGTATAAATACTTTGTCAACATACAATTTGATAATATTAATTAATATACTCAGTCTATTGATTTAAGTAACTGTTACATCTTTCAAACAGTTACAGACAGACAGAGTGACGGACGAACGGACAGACGGACAAACCCAAATTAATATCCCCCATTTTTCAAGCGTGGTGTTTTTCTTCCTTAATTATTTTCCTTATTTGTCGAAAATTTAAAAAAATATGACTGAAATGTAATGATCACAGCACGTCTGCTTAACATTTTTAAGAAGTTTATCCTTTAATTGGGGTGTGGGGTGTTGGAATGTGAGTGGATGTTTTTTTTTATGTATGATGAAACAAAAAGTAATGAAATAATAAATTAACAGAAAAGAAATAAATGATAGCTTAACTCACTGTTGAGATGTGAGTTATCGATCAAAGATCTCGAATAAACAACAGAACGAAATTTAAACAAATTTAATGATAAAAAGAAAAGCAAATTTTACAACAAAAACAAATTTAAAAAAATATGACTGAAATGTATTTTTGTAGACCGTCCTGGAAAATTTTAATTGATCACAGCACGTCTGCTTAACATTTTAAGAATTTCGGTTTAGACTCTCCTTTCACTTATTGTTCACAAATTAAATGGAATGTAATTTCACAAATAACACACAATTTATCGTTTTTTAAACTAGCTTTCACAATGCTGTTTGGATTATCTTTTATAATTTTACAGAGTTGATTGCTTTATCCAATATCAATTAAAACAATATTTTTATTGCTGGTCTTAAGATATATATCTATCTCTCTCTCATATGCAATTGTTACTGCATGACCAAGACTACCCCTTTCGTCTTATACTGGCTATTGTATTTCAGGAATTTAAATACTGTACCTTTACAATCGATAACTCACTTTTGCACTTGGACATATTTGGCGGCTTTTTTAACGATGTAAATATTCATACTTACCGTTAACTAAAAAATTTAAAGCAGACACCGTATTACGTTACCCAAGTATGGGAACTAAAACACCATATAAAACTATACTGTATCTAACCCCTCCCTTCCGACCTTGATCAGCTTCTGTCAGGTTTTTCTTCCTTAATTATTTTTTTCCTTATTTGACTCCTTCACGAAGTGAGATTTAAACGAAATAGTACCCCTAACGAGGAAAAGTATTTTAAGTGTTGTTATTCTACTTTACACCATCTCTTGTGTTGATTGCATACCAGTAATTTATGTCAGTGCCCCTAACACCATACCTAGTTGTTTTTTTTTTAAATCAAAAATCAATTCCACATCACCTCAAGCATGTAACATAACACCTGTTGAAATGTCAAAGTAAGCTGTCGACTGTAAAAGTCAGTGCTCCTCGTATATACGGCTTCTCAGGTGGATAAAAAAGACCAATATTTATTATCATTCGATCGGAGTATCTTAAGGGATAAATGCTATTTATGTTCATAAATAATTTTATGCCCATTTCTTGTGTATTGAAAGTGGGACAAGCGAGATAACTCTAATACTTTCGAGCGGTCTTGTTTTTGGAACAACCTCAGTATCAGATTGAGTACAATCAGTGGCGGCGCCATATTTGTATGGAAATACAATTTTATTTTTGAACAAGCACCTCTAAATTAATATTGGCTACAGACAATATTTTTATCCAGTGCACAGTTAATACATTTGACATTTGGACAGTAATGTTTTGATCTATTTGGAAGTTTCATGTAGTCGTTGTGTGATCTTTTGGATTTTATAAAAGGAATTCAGCACATTTGTAAGTGTTAAATTTGATAATAAAGATTTCCTACTCTGAGTTGAGTTCCTATTTTAATTTTGTCACAAAATTGTTTTATGACCATAAATGGTCACCTTTAATTCAACTTCAAACGGTGTTGTGTTGGTATCAGATAGTGCAATATTACATCAAACAGAGCAACCTTTAGTGCGAGTATCAGGAAGATGGGCATAAATTTTGTTTGTTACAAACACAATTCACACCATTCTTTTAAAGTATCAAATGTAGTGTATTTTTGGCTTAAAAAATTACTCGAGATACTTGTACATGTTTACAGTCAGTTTATGGTTAAAATAGTGAGTAATTTGTCTGGTTTTTCAGATAGAGGTTGTTCTTATTATCTATCATCATAATATCGTGAGTAATAGAGAATATGAGGGTTTGGACAATTGTCAAAATATTGAACAAGTTTGGCACATTATCTGTGAACAAGGACATTGGCTTTGAAAAAACATTCCCATGATACTGATTAAGAAGTAGTAAAGTTTTGAAATACCACGTGTATAAATGTTACACAATATGGTATTGTTTTACAAGAGTTGAAATAGTTTCATAATGTGTTACAGATTCCAGTTTGTATGAATTTTAGGGACGGAACATTGACCCTTGATTAAAACCTGTGTAGGAGAACATGTGATCTCCTGATTTATTCACCACCCCACTAATGTCTCTTTATACAGTAATGTTTTGATCTCCATTGATGTTTTCTGTGATATAGTGTGGGTCATTATACAGTTCCTGTCCTACATTTTCATTTTTGTATTTCCATTTGATAATTCTTTTCCTGTTTTGTTGGTATCTAGTGACTTTCTCTTCATCCTTCAGGAAGACATAAATGCAGTAAGTCCCATTTCTTGTGTATTGATGTGGGACAAGGAGATAATATACTTTCGAGTGGTCTCCAGTTTCCAGTTTTAATGAATTCAGTGATATTGTAATCCTTTAATCCTATAAAAAATACTGACCATAATTTGACAATAAAAGTAGGTCATTTTTATCCCCGTTGTGTTTGTTATGCATTTAGTATGTCCACCACTGGTAAATTTCATCAAACTCAGTTTTCATTTGTAATAGAAAATCTCTTTGACAATAAATGACCTTTTTCAACTTCAAACTGTCAATGATCCAGAGTCCGTCTGATTGATCTGGAGATACAAAATGTATATATGCACATCCAAAACATGCATCAATGCAAGCTCTTTAGTGCGGATAAAGTCAATGCATAAATTTTGTTTACAAACACTTCACACCATTCTTTTAAAGTATCAAATGTAGTGTATTTTTGGCTTAAAAAATTACTTATTTCTGTCTTCTTTTATGGTTATTATTTTTTTGTGAGAAATTGATCATCAATACACACTTGTTCTTACAGATTCCTGAGGGACGGAACATTGACCCTTGACCTGTGTAGGAGAACATGTGATCTCCTGATTTATTCACCACCACTAATGTCTCTTTATCTGATGTACAGATATCTCCATTGATGTTTTCTGTGATATAGTGTGGGTCATTATACAGTTCCTGTCCTTTGACATCCCTCTGTATTTTTTTCCCCACCAGTAAGTCCCCGTTGATGTGGGAGGAGTGTATACTGAGTGGTCTCCAGTTTCCAGTTTTAATGAATTCTTCTAACACTTAATAGGTACAAAATGTATATATTCCAAAACATTTCTCTCATTTCTGCAATGTTTGTTCAGACTTATTTCTGTCTTCTTTTATTTTGTCATTGGGGCATTTTCTACACATATATTTTACCAAGTAATTGGATGATATCGTTTTTGCTATATTGACCAGCGATAAAACTAGGTGTGACTAGTTTTGTTACTTCTGGTATGGGTCGGGTCTTCGAGTTTTTTATTTCCGACATTAACTTCTGGAGTTCTGTAGAGGACAGGCATCTGCGGAGCTCTTTAACAAGGTTATTAAGATAAATAATGTAATCATCAATGGTCTTGTCTTGGTTTTTTAGGTCTTCTAACAGTGAATGCTCTATCTGCTCCAATCGCTCCAAGTTCTCAGATACGACTCTGTCCACCAGGATTTTAAAATATTCACCTTCGGACTCCATGGATTTTCGAATATTGTCAATTATGTGTTTGATTTTAGATGAATCTTTTTCATTTTCCTTCTCTTGTGATGTGGGTATATGTACATGTAGGAAGTACATGTGGTCTATTGAGATTTTCTCTTGAAGATATTCAAAAAGTTTAGCATAAACTGGATCTAGTTCAGAAATATCAAGAAATATGTGCCCCCGGTGGTCTTCCCCTGTAGCACATTTGGAACATACTGGAACTTGGCATTCTTTACAGAGCATGTCTACATCTTTAGTGGGATGAATCTTGCACTTTTTCAAAGGGATTTGTGTCTTACGATGCTGGTAAAGAACTACCTCATGGTTCTTGTAATCTGAACTTTTCAAATGCACGTCCTTGCATTGTTTGCACAATCTTTGATGGCAAGGGTTACAATAAAACTCACAGTTTCCTTCACATTTTTCAATGCTACACCCCATTTTAGATAATGCCACCTGGAAATTCTCTAACAGCTCTATGTTCTCATATATGACAGTGTCCACCAGACTTTTAAGGGTTTTGCCTTCGTTCCTAATTGACCTTATAATATTGACCATGGCATATTTGATTTCCGAAATATTTTCTTCAATTTGTTGCTTTAACAATTGTGATTTAGGCAGAATATACTTCAGGACTTTGTAGATTTCCTCTTGAAAGTTTGCAAATATATCAGCATATACTCGATCTAGATCACAAAATACATGTCCCCGATGGTAAATTGGTAGAGCAACACATATGGAACATAATGGAACCTGGCATTCTTCACAGAACATGTCCACATCTTTAGTGAGATGGATCCTGCATTTCTTCACAGGAAGTTGTCGTTTACGTTGCTGGTAAAGAACCACCTCATGGTTCTTGTTTTCAGGACTTTTCAGATGTTCCTCGCTGCATTGTTTACAAAATCTTTGGTGACAAATGTTGCAATAGAACTTACAGTTTCTTTCGCATTCTTCAATGCCACACTCTAAAAAGTGTTGGGCTTGCGGTGGAATATCTATCTTAGATAAAACCATCTGAAATTGAATGATTATGTTTTAATTAACAAAAAACTTCCATTTGCTAAAGAAGTAGTATGCCATAGTATCATAAACGTATCTTTGAAGAAAAAGAAGAAACTGAAATCTAATTTAGCCAAAAAACAAATATTCCCAACTTTTTAGAATTGGAAATTTATATTCTCCGGGATGACGTAAAGACAAAAAAAAAAGGCCGTGTAATTTTCCAAGGGTTAAAATGCATTTTTTACATATTCATTTAAACGGGCATTTGAAAAGTTCTTAAACTGTTTAGCGAAATATTAACCGCCCTAGAGGAAAATGTTAATTATTATTTTCATTGGAAAGATCAGAGAAATATACACATATTGTGGTGTCATTTTTAATTTTTATGCTGTAAAGATGACACCAGAATTCATATACATATGCGGACTCCGGACAGTGGCTTTAGACGATGGGATAACCCGTGCTTACAAACAATCCATAAAATGATGTATGGAATTGCTGATAAACAGTCTCACAGTCCTAATCTAGCTCTGCACAAATTTATATTTTCTTTGATTTTTTAGGTAGCCTTGACAGCACTTTTTTGATCGTCTCATGTGGATCATCGTTGCAAACCACAGTCGAAATGTACGATCCCCTACCATTCTGGCCGTGGTTGAATATGAGAAGAGAATAATTCGTAGCCTTGTAAATTATGGACCAATGCGAGTAAAGCATAGTCGGATTATAAACTTTGATGCAACATTTTAATACCGAATCGTAGTGTACAAAAAACTAATGATTTAAACACTACCTAAGGATGATTCCTTATAAGTATCACCAATCGTGGCTTTGTTGTTCTTGAGAATAGGAGGTTTAAAGAATCCCTTATATATTTTTATGTAAAACTTTTAACGTCCATTGTGGCACCATCCCCCTCCTGGGGGTCATGATTTGAGCAAACTTGAATCAATACTATCTGAGGATTTGTCAGTAAAAGTTTCATCTTTCCTGGTCTAGTGGTTCTTTCAAACTTGCTTTAACTGGGCAACACAATAAGTATCTTTTTTAACCATCTGCCTTCCATTACTAAAACTATCAATGCTCAGGAGTTTATAGGAAGTAAGTTGTCTTAATAAACTGTGTACAAATTATTAAACGCTACTTCAAAGGGATTTCTAAAATATTCCATAAAATGTACAGTCGTTTGTTGAACGAGTACGACTGAGATAACCATTTCTCGTCACAAGTGACCTACATTGTAACGTCATAAACAAGGAGCAAAGCTTTATTCAGAATAAGCTATTTATAGAACTTGTGTTGGACTATGTGTTTGCCAATTCTTTTTCTAATCTGAATTGCGACTTTGTATATATAGAGATAGTTTGCGAACATTTTGATCATCCCTCGTACATCTGATGATGATTCTTGGCCCTTTTTAGTTGTGTTTGTAATTTGTCTAAATTATTCTTAGGTTTTGAATGTTTTAAGGTAATTCCACCCACATTTGATGTCATGTTTATGCAAAAGCTGTAATTATTTAAATTCATACCTAATAGAACAATATCTCTTGGAAGAATGCTTTACAATAGGTGTAATGATAAATATTGTTGAATTAAAGAATTTAAAAAATGCATATTTTCTATATTTAATAAATTATTAAATCTTTAAAAAATGTTGATAAGGGCAATAACTCCATCTAAGGTCTCTACATTCAGGAATTTGCTTTATTGTAAAAAAGTTTCCCGAATATTCACAATTCAAAACTATCTTTTAAGTAGGAAGTATGTAGGAACATTCAGCATCAGAATTGTGCATTTTAACCAGTTTTTACATATTTTTCAAAATACTGTTTACAAAAAAGTGCGATTTTTTTTATGTTCGAATACACTTCTGTTTAATTTTGTTTTGCATCTTAAATAATATAGTAACCTATATATTTTTTGCAATAATTGGAAAACTAAAAGTATATTTAATGAAAATAAATGCAGTTTTTGTACTTTGAACCTATAAAATTGTGAGGGTGGAAACACCTGAAAATAATATAAAGTACTAGTAACCAAAGGTTTATTCTATATAAGGCCATTTTCTTGCCTACGATAAATCACTTTAAAATGTGATTTTAAAATCATCCTATTTAATGATTTTAATGTTTGTTTTTTAACATCGTTCACTTAAGTCACGTGATTCAGAGATCACAAATGGCCTTCAGTTTAATAAAAAATGAGGGTAGGTCTATTTACATCATGTTTCAGAATGAAAAAGATAAAAAATTGTTTATTTATTTCGTTAAGACATCAGACCTAAGTAATAAATTGAAATTTTTTTTTTTAAAGACTTAAGATATTTTTAGGACATGAATTTTGATGAATCTACACTTGAAGGTTAAATTCATTCTCTTTCCCACTCCAGCATGAAAAACTATGATGTTTATCACGGGTAGTGACAATCCTTATCCTAAGTCTAATGCATAAAAAGTAAATGACATGGGTCATTTGGATATTATCTTTAAGAAAAGAGGTCCCGTCTCGCGGTAGGCGTTGGTCAATAATGCAACTATGCATAAATCAAAATTGTGACATTTGGCCTTAAGTGGATCATCTCTTAATCTGTATGAAAAATCCTAAAATGAAGTTAAGCAACATTCACTTATCAATCACATATGACCCCTCTCCTCCTTACCGGTTTATTTTCTAAGACAGGACTGCTATTCTCGAAACTTATATCGATGCTATCAAAGAAGTGTAATAGATGTAGTCCTCTCAATTAAGACCAAGTTAACAAAATACAATTATATGGATCCTATGTCACTCGTACAGAAAGAATTCCTTCTTAAAGTTCAAGCCAAATATTTCTGTTATATAAAACCATCCTATAAGTTAATCCCTACAATAAAAGTTACGTGTGTACCCGTAGAAATTAGAAAATACATTTTTCCGCTGTAGCAAATATAGTTTCATCAATTCTAAAACATTTACATAACATATAAGTAGAACATATTACAGAAAATAGTACTGATAAGAAAATGGAAAGAAAATATATATACAACTACTCATAATAAACAAAAAAGAAGTGACATTTATACATAAACCAAACTATCATTATAAACATTAATAATTATAATAAATAACTTCACGTATTTTACTCTAGAAAAACTTTTTTTCCGTAATACTTCGCAGACATTTCAATGAGACTCTTCCACGTGCCATTTCGTGACCTCCAGGCTTCTCAGTCCTTTGATTTAAGATTTTTTAAAGTAAGAATTTGACATTTTTTTTAGTAAACGTGCATGAGTTTTTTTTAATTCTTGGTCGATCAACAAAAATTTGTTCTATAATCAAAACAAAAAGTTAATGAAAAGAAATAATCAGCATAAGCTGATATCCTTCATTGTGAGTAGTTAGCTTTTCCTGCAAATTTTGTAAAAAATGAAGCGATCGAAAAGTTTGTACAGTGTATTTACATGTCATAACAACCTTTAATCAAGTTAATAATTCCGTGGTCACTATTCATGTTTATAAGAAGTATACTTCAAAATTTTGGGGTTAGTAAAAGGTGGTTATGACATGTGTTAGAGTTAACTAAACACAGCCATCCTCTTGAGTTTTTTCCATTACTTACTTTATGATCCTATATCATAACAAATATTACTGTATAATTAACCAATCAATATTTATCATTAAATTGGAACATAAACCTGATGATTTATGCAATTTTATAGGGAAATATACTTTCTGAAAATTTGGTGTCATTGTAAGCCGCAAAACGGCCTTATAGAGAATGATCCTTTGTGCGTCAATTTATATTATGATAGCAACAAACAATTTTCTTTTACAAGCGGGTTATAATACTTGGCATGTCACTTCTCTGCTTAAATTCATTTTCAACCGAGGTACGGTAAACAGGTGCACTGTCTTTTTTTTAATTTGTTAGAAAATATTAAGCTCTAGCGAGCTAAAGTTTTGAATCCATTATATATTTTCCCCACTCTCCACTCAGAAAAGGAGGAATTCAAACCACCTAAAACCCTCCCCATCCCAAATCTATCTGACAATGCTATCCCAGTCTCCTCCAACTCTCCACAAGATCTATTCTCTTGCCCACGTCACACAACTTTAAATTTGTGTTCTCATCGCCCATTCGTATTTTCATTCTTACGTCTCTTTGCAGTTCTCTGTAAAATAGGAAAATACCTACTTGGATTCATAATATCGGTAATGTAAGCTAGCAGAACTGTTTGAGTTACCCGTTGGTGTATATTTAAACCTAACTTGCCAAAATGAGACAGACTTTGCCAGTTTGGTAAACGTGGTATGCAGTCTCTTTCGTATGATAGTAACAAGCAATGCATGTTTAGGAAAAAACTACAAAACCGTATATCAAGTAAACTTTTTGCTATAAAGTAATAATTTCAAAAATTGAATTATTCATACTTACAACTTTATGAATATCCAAAAAATATTTTGTTGTGAGCCTTTAGAACGAGATAAGAATTGAAATATAAATCCCTTATTTGTTGGCGATATCCATCCGTTGAGTTTGATCGAACTGGATTCTTAGTTTACCGAGAGATTTTTAAAAACTTGCAAATTGTTAAGATGTACTATGGGCCAAATGTTATCTATGAATTATTTTAAAGCTGTGCAAATCCCTGGATATAACGGAATGTCAAGTAAGATAAGACATTGCAGTATAGACTCTATTAAACTGTTCGTTATCTCCATATGTTTCACTTAAACCTGTACCTTATAGGTGGTAGAAGTTATTTTCTTAAATTTTCTGTATATTTTCCTACTTATATGTTGTTTTAGCATTTTATACTAAAATGTGATAAAAATCTTATTTCTTCTCGAAGTAATTGAAACTTCGAATTGCTGGACATCTAAATACATTAAAAAATGGCAATTTGTTGTGTATTAATGAAAAATATCAAAACTATATAAGCCAGCTGAAAATTCAGAGTAGAAATGTTCGAAAGCAAAAACCCACTCACAGTATTTTCAGTCTGTGCGCCGTGCACATGTGCTTGTGCA